TATAACTCTATGCGAATGACGAAAATTACTGTTCTATTGTGATTGATGGCAATCAGTTTTATCTGTGAGTCAGAAAATGGCAAATGAGCTGCTCCTGCCACAGTTAATTGGTTAATATTTTATTAGGTATTGCTATTTAGTATTCTAGTGATATAAAACCTACAAGAGAAGATATCTAGTTATATTAATATTATATTATATATTGTTATTTAGTATTCTAGCAATATTATACCTTTAATTTTTCTCTAACAGATACAATATTTAGTTACATTCATCTGTAATTACAGTATTTGCAACTTAGTACTTTAGCAAGATAAATCCTTTAATAGCTCGGCAACAGAGATAAAATATTTTATTTATTAATCATTGACTATATATTCATACTATAACATTCTTGCAGAATAGTCTTATCTGGTCTACCACAGAGAATGTTGTTTAGTTACATTAGTATATTGTCATTTAGTATTTTAGCAAAATTAAACCTTTAACTGTGTCAGAATAATTATTTAACTTTTCAAATGATAATTATTTCTTCTAGTTTGAACAAGATCCATAAATCCAAATAAACAGTTGTACAATTAATAATTTTATTTCCAACCCACAACTTCATCTACATTAATAATAAACACATATCTGACAGACTTACTGTTCTCTAGTAACAGCAACAATATTAACTTTTTCTGACCTTGAAAGAGTGGATGAATTCCAATAGCAGAACTCATAAGCTGCTTCATCCTCTTCACCGATTCAGCTGCAGGTGCTGCTCGAGATTTTACATACTGTTTGTAAGCATTTTTACAAACATTTACGAGATTAGTCTGAAAGAGACAGAAGTGGATGTATGTAAATACTACACTGTTGTGTAACAGGCTTTTAATTGGATTTCAGCATCCATGAGGATATAATTGAACTGTATGACATCAAATTTTCCGTAGTACAAATATTGGATATAAGTACATGAGAATGGTAATCGTAGATATAAAAATATGTTTTAATTCTATTTTGCTCCTAAAAGATGATACACAACTATCACTATTACATTTATAGAGAATCCTCTCTTGAATATCCCAATGAAGCAGGGAAGACTGTCTCTTCTTGGAAAACAAAAAGCAAGGCTGATGAAGGAATTTTTGGAAAATTGGCAATGTGGAAGTGATGCATCTCACAATGCCAGTGACAATCTTGTTGAGAAGGAGTGTAGTATCCCTGTTAGATTTTGCAGGAGTAAGTACAAGTAATGACTAAGTGGCAAGTAGCTTCCAAAGGGCCAGTGGCAACCTTGCTTATACTGACAGCAGTGTCCCAGTCATATTTTACATATGTAGAAAAAAATAATGACTAAGGAAGTATGCATCTTGAACAGGCCAGTAGCAAATTTGTTAACACTGACTGTAGCATCTCAGTTGGATTTCAATGGGAATAGGAACAAATGATGAGTGTGGAGGTTGGGGTGGAACTCCAATACTTACAACCCTAGTGTCTACACATTAACAAAGAGAAATTATACCACAAAGAGTGTAAACAATCTATACAAGTTGTTGTTAGAAGGGCCCAGCAGAGAACTACAGCTATGTTTTGTAATTGTCAGAATTTAGGGGAACTAAGAAAGACAAAACATAAAAATGATGAAGGTAGTGGAAAATACAGCTATGTTTCCTAGATGTCTGCATTTAGGAAGGTTACAGAAGCAGTAGATGTCACAGAAGGAATGTTGTAATAAGCTGAACAAACTGCTACAATTACCAATACATTTAAGAAGTCTCCAGCCTTGGAGACAAAAAAACATGAACAACTTGAACCTGAGAAGTTTTTAAAGGAGTAGAAACATTCATAAACAAACTAAGATAAGTGCACAAGAAAAACAAACAAGAGAAATTAAAATTCTTGGGTATAAGAAACTATAGAAACAACAATACTGAAAAAATAATTAAGAAAGTCAATGAAATAGGGAAGGGTTCAAACTTCAGATGAGAAAGATGGAGAATGAATATTTTTAACACATACACAGAAAGGAGTTTAAAAAGGTCTGGGACTAAAATCTCAGATGGGAAATATGTTCAGGGGTTCAAACTAAGGACAGTTTATGAAAGGAATGACCCAAACCTCAATGCATAGATATAAAAGACAGACAGGACTAAAAGCAATCTCAACCATTATTGTAAAACTCCGACAAAACAAACTTTTGGCTAGTTTCTATCACACTTCGGAACATCCAAACATTATGAAATGTAGCTGCATTCAGTGAAACACATATTAACCCCTTCCTTGTCAGGCTGGAAATGAGCTAAAGGAAGTCAGTTTTCTATATTTTGCTTTTTTGATAGCCTATAGGTATATATCAATGAAACAAAACTTATTTTATGATCTGTTATTATATTTATGCCCAAGATATATTTGATAAATAAATGTTACATATCTGGATTTATATGTTATATATATATATAACACACATTAAAGAATAGGAATGCTTTTCTCTAGTGTTGACAGTACATAAATCAGAATAAACCTGACAGAGATCAGCACAAACAGCATTCCCACTGCCATCTAACGAGCACTGATTGTAATATATGATAATATGCAAATAAATTTCAGCAAATAATTAAGGATGTAGCAAGAAATGGTTTGTCTGAATTAACTCACATAAATATTTTTTGAAACATGGATGGTGCCCAAGCTATGTCAGGCAAATCAAGGAAGGGGTTAAAACAGACCTCTATCTCATATGGAAAATGGACTGAAGTCTAGAAAGTCTTCATAACTATAAAACAAAGTGAAATTTGAATCTCCATAAAACAGAATAAAACATGTTTTTAATTTTTGTAAGAGGAAAGAAGAAAAGTACTATAAGAACTACATTGCAGCAGCTGGTTCAACTGTAGTCTAAACCACAGCTGTTTGTGGTACAGTAACATAATCCACCATTCCTGGTTTGTACCTTTTCAAGCAGCCTAAATAGTAGTGGTTGTTAAATCACCTTGGTTGAGTCCTCTGAATGTTATACTCATCATACTTAAACAATTTGTGAAGAAATTCTAATTTAAAGTAATATATAGACGACCCTACTCAATCTGTAAACTTTTTCAGCCAGATATTTCTGGAAACCAAAATTTAAATAATGATCAAAAACATCACCACACAGGTAAAAACAGACAATTTCAGTCTCAGTCACCAAGAAAATGGGTGTTTAAAGCAAATCTTAAATATTATCAAGACAGGGAGAATATGTCCTGAAAGTAATTACAGCAATTTCTGTACTACTGACATCACTAAATTAAGCAATTACATAATGAACTGTTTCAGAAAGGAATACCCTGTGATATCTGAACAATTACACAAGAAAAGTACTTTAGGTTCTCATGAAGTGAATTTACTACAAATCATAAGAAAAAAACAAAAACATTTTGACTAACTACATATCTCAGACCCACAACTGACACTAAATCTATCATATCAGTCATCTTAACAAATGTTCAAACTCATGAGTAAAATCACTGCTACTTTGTACAAGATAAATCAAAAACAAAATACAGCCAGTCGATTTGCCCACTATGTTTTTCATTGTTTAAATAAAAATGACACCTCTAAGACAAATGAGAAAAACTACACGTCAATTACAAAATCTCTTGTGTATTACAAAACTGAGGTAACCTACAGCAGAAATAAAGGACAAAGCTTTACACATGGCCAAAAATTACAAAATATACTGCAAAAACTTGTTACATTATATTAAACTGAATCAACCACCAGAAAAGTCTAGAAAATTAATAAGTATGAGATTAAACAGATATTCACTTTGCATGCAAAACAAAAAACTCTCTTAAAAGTGAAACTTGGTAGAGGTGAAAGAAAGCTACTACAGCTATCTACCACTATCCTTAATGTTGAACCATCAACAGTCAAAACAGCCAGTCAGCAGCACCCTACCACTAATGGATTGACTGTCACTCTTATAATGTACCCATAGCTTAAAGTGCATGGATTATTTTGTGGTATCCTATGGATTAAAACCATGGTCACCATCTTTGAAATCCACAGCTCTGCTCATAGACAAGCCACTCCATTGAAAAGAATAAACAGTAATTAAATGTTTAAAGATTCTTATATGAAAATGTTAAAAAGCACTAAAATGAAAGACATATTTAAACAAATCAGCTGAATTGGATATTAAAAGAGAAAAAAATAAGTGTTTAAGAAAGGAAAACTCAATGGTTAAAAGAAAAGGCTAGAAAATGCCGAAAAATTATCAGGGAACGAAGTTTGTTGAAATTAAGACAAGCATTGTTGTTGACAGTGTAAAATGCAATGCTGACCATGCATAGGCCAGGTTACACATAGTACCACATGATACAGTTAATTGGACTGCAAGAACTGGAACAGCAGATGTGTGCACAACATAGGAGGAGGGGGGGGTAGTTCCATGAGAAATATCTAAATGCAATATCATCAAATAGGTAACTCATCTCCACTACCCATGCTTAGCCTCCTTGGTATTAAACTTTACAAACACTAAATCACTAAACTCACTGACTACATCATAGTTCGGTAACATCTTAAGGACTTCTCAGATCAACATCATTTTAAATTTATTTAACAACTAGCTGGCGTACCCATCCCCTGAATGGAAGTTATTTAAATTAATGATCAATGAAAGGTTATGTTAGGACATTAAAAACTGCTTCCCTTATAAAAATGTAAAAATGCCCATAAATACTACAAAGCACAAAATGTGAAACCTCAAATTTCCATGTAGCTCCATGGCGGCCCAACAAACCTTCAGGCCAAATTTATTGAAGATCCATCCACAGGAGATTAGGTAGTGGTAAAAAACACCCATAAAAACTACAAACTGAGAATTTGTATTTATCACTCCATGTACTCAATGAACCTACATACCAAATTTGGTGAAGATCTATCCACACTCTATGAAGTAGTTACATGGACAGACAACAGTCACTACTATTGTATTTATATAGTATTTAGCTAGTATTTTTGTTTCTACAAAAAATCATAGTCTAACATTAAAACAAGACATTTATACACAAATAAAAAATTAATCAACAAATATCTATATTACAGAACACAATATTTTCTACGAATATACAATGAAACAATTTTTTAAAAATGTTATATACTACTATACAACAATATCATACCACTGTAGTATCATAAGATAAATTTACTTCCCAAAATAGTAAAAAGGTAGGTCCTCTATAAAACAGGCTTGGTAAGAAAAATTGTGAAGTAATACTGAGTTCTGCTAAAACTAACCGAGTCTGTGCTATGAATGGCATTGAGTTAAGTCTGTGGACTATTAAAGCCAGAAACCAGGTTTCAATACCTGTGATGGGCACAGCACAGATAGCCCATTATTTAGCTTTGTGCTTAACTACAAACAAAACAAAGTCTGTGGTACAAAATAAATGTACTGGACATAAAGTGTCATGCACATTGAAAAGAATTTTTATTAACCCTTTTGATATGGGTAGGTCAAACTGCTTTTTTGTTGACCTTTCAGAGCTACGTTCAAAATTTAATCAAACTACTTTATTATCAATGTCAACAAATAAATATGACATCAAACATTGATAACAAATCAAATTTTAATATTACATAAGTTTTAATTTCTTATTTTTAAACAAAAGGAAATACTTGAATAAATTCTCAATCTCCCCTTGTCCGTGTAATGTAACATTTGTTCTCTCCAACTTGTTCATTTTCTGTTTTTCACCCATATATGATGTCCTGAGATCAAGGTATGGGAATTACTAAAGCATAATCTGATTTTTATAGCTTTCAATCTCCTTTGTTTATAGATATATAAACCAGTAAGTCAGATCTACTTGCCATGCCCTTCTTTAACAAATTGCCAATAATTCTCTCTGGTGTTTGCTATTATATTATTTATAACCAATAGAAAGACAGTTTTAATTTACTGAATGATGTATAATACTATTTTGTTCTCAGAAGATATTTTTAGTTATTTCACCTACAGATTGAAAATTGTTATTGCTAAGTTCAGATTGAGCAGCTAAGGAAATTATTTGAAGGCACTTATACATTACAGAAATAGAAGAAAAAAACAAAAACTTCATTTATTCACGACCATGGTTTTGCCAGTAAAGACATAATCATGTACAGGTAGCAACAGTTTCAAGTATCAAGTTATGCTTTAATTAAAAAGCCAGGCAGTTATAACAGTTATGACATTGCTTTGAGCACGTTATTTTTTTGTGCTCGTAAGGGCATACTTGAAATAAATGAAATTTATTTAACATACTAATACCATCATTTCAAAAAATATGCTGAAGTTTTGACAGTATGCCAACAGCAAAAAAAAAAGTGGCCAAGTGTACTACATTTTCGTTTTTTATGTATATTTTTTCATTTATTGTTAAAAAAGCCCCTAAAATGTTAAAAATTAGAAACTCATTGGGTTAGATAAGGTCAATTAATGAAAAAAGAGAAAAATTTCTCCACAAAGTATGCTTGTGACTAGCTCGTATGTTACATCATTCAATATCATAACTTGAGCTATGCATTCGCCATGTGATTTACAATTTGTATTGCAAGGTTATTAGTAAGACACAGGGTTCTTAGAGGAATAAAATTAAATAAAAACAGATGTAAACTGTTGTCAGCATTAAACTGTTTACGATAAGTAATTGTACTTTTCTGTTACAATCTGTAATCATTATAAAAAAGGGTGTAATTCAGATTTATTTCATATTTTTTGTGGTGATTACAAGGTCAGTCAAATCAACCGTGTGCATATATTGTTAGAGTAGAGAAAATAATAGATGAGGTATAAAGCGTCTGATATTCATTTAGTAGGTCTAAGAGGTTATGCAAATGAAATTTGAAAACTGAATTTTTTATCTTAACATGAAAATCCTTTTGCACTTACACTAGTCAGAATCTGAGAGACACTCTGACTCCATATATTCAGAGACAAATCTTTGGTAAAAATACTTAATAAAAAATCTGATTTTTTTATGTGCAAATGACTTTTAGTTTTTACTAAAAAGCTTGTCAAATTTTGTAATGATGCATTGACTACATTAAAAGTTATAGTGTAGACACTTTCATGGTTATCTGGTGGTTACAGAGTGGTTGCAAGGTCTGTCAAAAATACCAAGCTTGTGTCGAAAGAGTTAATTTCACAAACACAATGTGGTGCTTACATTGGATACAGTTGTCTTTAGTGGAATTGCAAATTGATCAGGTTGACTCTACTCTCTTTAGATTTATTTACAAACTGTCTGATTCACTCAAGATGATACTCCAAACTGTTTAAAACTCAAATTACTCAGCTGAATCATTAGAATCAGAGTTACCTCAAGGAACTATCACTATTCATGCAGCTGGTTCTTGTCATTCAAACACAGGGGAAGTTGTACTCTTGAGATACCACCTGACCTACCAGTGAATGACATAGCTGTCTATATTCTTGCACAAAGTGCAGCAGTACAGCCATTCATCCATGAGCAGTACAAGTGTGATCTAAATAGAATGACAGAGGAGAAAAGGCAGCTAGAACAAAATCAACATAACATCTGTTTTGATCACGTTATGCAAAAATTGCACATATTCAGAATAATTTTGAAAAATTTTACACTGAAGTAAAAGTGTGTATCATATTGTTTTTTTTTGTTTTAAAAATCATTTAGAAATTATTTTTTTAAGGATTTCACTTTGTACAGAAAAAATAATTCTATATATATTCGATAAATCAAAGTACAACTTTAAAAACACTAAATGACAAAAAATAATTAAATCCATGAATCATGATTACCTTGATGAAGATACATGATTAACATACAAGTAAAGTTTGCTTCTAAAACTCACCAAGTCTATGGAGCTATCATGACATCTTTTCAACAAATCTGTTTCTTCGTCAATAATTTCCTGAGGTACAGATCCATAAATTCCATCTACAGAAAAAGTAGTATGTATTGAATTTTGTAGCTAAAACAATTTTTTAAAATTGTAAAAACTGCAGGCTTAGTGGCAATAGTATAATCTTCCTGCAAGTTTCATAAAGTGTAATGTAACTATTAATTACAGGTCTGCGTTTAATTTTACAATTTGTAGTCATTTATTGATTAAATTAGAAAACTAATGACACATACCAGTTTCTTTAGGATAGTTTTTGGCTAGCTTCAAACATCTTCCTAAGAAAAGATGAAGGTCAAGAAGATAAGGAGCTTCTTCAGGTGTGATTATTGAGTAAGCTGTACCACTGCGACATGCCCGAGCCACTCGGCCTAGTGAAGATAAAATTAATATAACAAATGGGAAAAAGTAAGTCAAGCTGAAAGTTCTGGAATTACTTGGAATGGAAATAGATGGTGTTAGAGTACAATTTGTAACACAGAATATCTTATTCAGTTAAACAAAATTTACAAAGCCTATAATGTAATGAACTATATCTGACAGATTTTAGTACAACTACAAAACCAGCTGAACATATGAAGCATGCCTGATCTCCGATTGTTTGGGCCTTGATTTTATAGTCAGTAACATAATTAATGTAGTCTTCTTTCATTGATGCTATGGTTCACCAGTTCTTCTAAATAATGAACAGGTTAATTAAAGTTAAAGAAAATAATAATTGATAATATATAAAGTATTGAAATAAATAAATAATATACTTTTTTTTTTAAGTAATAATCCTTACCCTAATTCTGATGTGTTGTCACATACATAAAATTCAGGAAAAAATTACACTTATCCCATTTTAACAGCTGTTGTCAAGCAATTTGCTAATATAAATAGTGTCTGAACTACTATGTTTGCCATATCCCATCTGGCCTGAAGAGCTTTGCTGTTAGGTTATAATTCTTGTCAGCACTGGATACAACAAATATGGTGTGGTTGCACTATTATCATACACTCCTTTTTAGTTAGGACCGGCATGGCCAGGTGGTTAGGGTGCTCAATTCGTTAATCTGCGGGTCGCAAGTTCGAATCTCCATCCTACCAAACATGCTCGTCCTTTCAGCTGTGGGGGCATTATAACCTGATGGTCAATCCCACTATTCAATGGTAAAAGAGTAGCCCAAGAGTTGGCGGTGGGTGGTGATGACTAGAGCTGTCTTCCCTCTAGTCTTTCACTGCTAAATTAGGGATGGCTAGTGCAGATAGCCCTGGTGTAGCTTTGTGTCAAATTCATAACAATCCAATTCAATCTTCTTTATTTTCACTCAGATGATCTTATTAATAATTCTAAATACTTATACTACATCATATTACTCTCAATGCAGGCCACAAGCAGTGAGCCAAACAGACAACTTTTCTGAACTTTTTAAACAGTATTCAAATGGTACCTAGCTCATACAAACAGTCTTGAACAGGAAATAAAACTTAATTACAGAAGCAGTTGATAAAGGTTCAGACATAGTAATGATTAAGATGAGAAAAAGTATACCAGTGATGATATGGTTGAAACAACAGAGATATCTTTTACAGCACAGTTATTGTAAACAGTAGTAAACAATCAGAGAAATGATTTAATCTTAAATGTAAGCTTAGCTATTTATATCAGAAAAATAAGATGAATTTACAAAAAAAATAATGTATATACACCTACCTATTGTAATTAACCACGCCTACAGCAGTGATTGGCTCTCAAGGCAATTAGTCTTGACAGAACGTGAAATTTACACTGTCGAGGAATACTGATCAATATTTATGGCGGGAACTGGCATTCTTTCACAGGTGATGAATGGGGTTTGGGGCTAAATTGGCCTGGCGCTTGGCAGCGTTAGACAGGTGGCATTCTTATAAAGGTTAAATAACATACAAATTGAGTTGGGACTTACGAAAACTGGCGCTGTTGTGGAGGTAAAGCAGTTAACAGGTTAGACTGTATATATACACTTGCTCCCATGGCAGAGAAAGGGGGAGAATCATTTAGTAACACAACATAACCAAACTGCAGTTTGCTTCAGCTTCAAATAAGTACAGCTAACTGACACCAGATAAATTCAGTAAGTCTAAAAATATGACATTTCCCACCCAAACACTTAAAGTCCAGATAAGTTAAAAAAAAAAGTTACTTCGACATTTTCTTAATATTAATTCAAATATACAGTGGCCCAAAAGTAGGTATACAGTTGCATGTGTACTTTTTCTTCTGGGGAATGCTCGAGGACAAAGTGTATAGTAGGAAATCGTGAAATGCTGAGGAAATGAAAGGGTACATCACAGATGCATTTACAAAACTTGATGGACAGACAGACTTGTGTCAGAAAGTTTGCAGAAGTGTGGCAGGCAGACTCCAGGATTGTGTGAACAGTGACAGGTTTCAATCTGAACACCTGTGAAATGAACTTTCCCATAATTCCATGTCATGTGTAAAGTGCTGTTAAATAAATTATCAATTGTATAATTTAATTTTGGACCACCCTGTATATTTACAGTAGATAACCCCAGTACTCTTGAAAGTTATAACTTTCCTATACTGAAAATATATTTCTGATAGGTGCTTACCTCCTTTTACAGATATTGTTATTCTCATTCAGTGCTGCCCTTTTTATGCAAACATTTTTTTGCATGCCACAAGCCTGGAGCTCCCATATACCACACTCAATGTGGTTCAACTGCATCTCACATGTAAATCCTCATGCAAAATCCCTCCACCAATAGGAGTAAGACACCCCCTCCTGACACATGTGGCTCCCTCTATTTGATTCTACTGAACTATCACTTCAAGTTTTGGCAGAAAATGGAATCAGTTTTCAGTGGGAAGTAAGTACCTATCAGAAATACATTTTCAGTATAGGAAAAATGATAATTTCTGATACAGTACTTTACCTCCTCCTACAGATATAGCTAGAATCCCACATTGAATAGATGGAGGGACCGGTGCGAGGGAAAGAATGAAGCATCTAAAGAACACCTGAAAAAGGGAGATCCTCGCAGTAGAGGATCCTTTGTGGGAGACCTCACCACTTCTATACCAGGTATATTCTACACCCAGTGTGGAAAGAGTTGTTGCAAACATGGGTGAAAAATGGGAGGAGAACATCCAAAAGGGAGAGAACAATGTTTCGATAGGAATCCAAACCACTGATATCTCAATATCTTGGAAGACAATAATGTGGGTGAGAGTAAAAAGAATGTGGCCCAAGGTGTAGAGAGGCTAGGGCACAATGGCCCGTACATAGCAAGTCAACTGCATCCAAAACCCAGCCACTGGGAACCAACATCCATGTAGGGGTAGGAAAGAGAATGATAGTGGCAGCAAGTCAACTGCAATCCAAAACCCAGCCATCTGATGGGGGATAAATCTGTTCAGAAATGGGGTGTCAGATTGAAGGACACCTAGTTATCTACACTAGCAGAACATCACTGTCCTACTCTCAACTGAATGGATTCAATATTGTTTGCATCATATATATTGATCACATTCAGGAGGATGCCTCAATGGTCCACCACCTCAGCAGCTTGGAATTGGAAAATGATAAGAACTCCCATACTCCACTGAAAGAAAAAAAGGAGGGGAGAAAGTGCAGTGGAGAGTCCAGAGGAACATCAACACCGGAGACAGTACAACGGGTGACCACGAAAACCCTATTTTGAAAAGCAGACCACTTCTGATCTATTCAGTCTAAGGAATGGCAGGGATGGGTAGCTATCCCTTTCTGCTTTACCCATGAAGTCCATGGTTAAGTATAGTCCAGAAAGGGCATATTAATGAAGCAAATATACTGTGAGGAAAACCTACGAGCAATCTTATAATTGTTAATTCATCATGGTTTTACATTGTGGATTTGACTAGTCTGAGTATCCCTGGACAGGCACCATTCTTCACAGAGTGGGATCTGTAAAGAAAAAAAGGGACATACCCCTGAAAAATATAAGTTACCCAGTCACAGTCTTGCCAAAGTCTGAAGAATGGAACAGGTGGAAGATGATAACCCAAGGAGGAAGAAACTGCTATCTGATGCAGATAGTGAGAGATGAATGTATGTAGTGTGGTCCACATGCTCGACTGAAGAATTTCTTCTAATGGACAATGAAGATGAGATGCCAGGGAAAAGGTAGTGCTAAAATCTGGTGAGAAGACACCTGGAACAAATTACAGAAAGATGGAGACAAGGAAGAATAAGCCAACTGATTTAAAAGCCAAACCCAATTGGTAAGGGTAGAAGGAGAAAGGTCTCAATCAGAGGATAGTTGCCACAGAATGGGCACCACAGAAGGAAGCCGTTCAAGCAACATAACAATGAAGAGCACGTATGGGACATAGTAGTCTATCCAGATCAGACCATGAATATAGGTGGGAAATGGAAGGAAAGATAATTGTCGAGAAGGAGGAATGATCCTTGGGAGCCACCAAAGTTTTGGGAAGGAAAGATCAATCTGGATAAAGGAGAACATATGTGGAATAAAGCAGGGTGAATGAGAGGATACACATAAAGGTATTTGTTGGTCCAATCCTGGCTGAACAAGTCGACAGCCAGTGCAATTGGATGAGGAAACAGAGACCAAAATAGATGTAACTTGGTATTGAGGAATGTAGCAAATACATCCAGGTGAGGGGTACCCCACCAAAGGCATAGCCACTAGAAAATGTGAAGAATGAAAGACCACTCCATCAGATATATTTTGTCCAGTCAGAAAAGATAATCCACGACAAGGTTGAATACACCCAGAACATGACATGCAAGGAGACAAATACCAAAAATATGGGCCCAAAAAAGGAGATCCAAGGTTCGACCACAAAGGAAATGAGAACTGGTGCTGCCTTGCTGATTGATATAGGCTACCACCATAGAATTGTCAGAATGAATCATGACCAAACGATTCCAGGCAAGATGAAGAAAATGATCCAAAGCACAATGCACAGCCAGCAGCTCCAGAATGTTGACATGGTAAAGCCTTCCAGCTGGAGACCACTGACCTGAAGCTTCCTACTGATTGACCCATGCCCCCCAGCTGTGGAGGGAAGCATCGGTGAAGATATGCAAATCTAGACGAGGGGGAAGAAGCGGAATACCTGCCAACATGTGGACCTTGTCCAATCATCAATGCAAATTGTTGACAAGGGAAAGAGGAAGGGAAATAAGATCATCCAAGGGTTCCTGTGCAAAGTTCAATTGGTCATACAAAGTGCACTGAAAAGACCTCATGTGCACTCAACCCCAGGTGATAAGGGTTTCCCTAGCAGATCACAGCCTCAAAAGTGATAGCATTTCACGAGAAATAATAGAGAAAGCAGTAAAGTTGTGGAAAACTGAAACCTCCATTGAATGAAGTCAAAAGGAGAAGGTTGGGCCTGACTGAGATGAGTGTTGAAAAAAGACACTCAAGTGAACAAGAGAGATTAACCAACCCACATGAGCTGCCTCAAAAAGAAGCAGATGAGTGTGATGGGTGGACTCCCTTCAAAACAAGCGAATAGAAGCCAGTCATCCATGTAATGGTGTAAGTGCAACCCTGAAGCATGCATATGTTGGGCAAAAGCCTTGACCACTATCAAAAATACATACAGGACCAAAGCAAACATGAAGGGTAGGATGCGAAATTGATACAATACCCCATGATGAACAAACCAAAGATAATGCCTTGACTGACAAGATATAGGAATATGCAGATAAGCAATCGAAGCATCTACCTTGGTCATCCTGAGAACTAGAGAAAAAGTCCACCTGAGGGTAAGAAAAGACTTCCTAGTAAAGTGAGGTAGAACCAAAAATTGATTGAGGTGGGATAGAGAGATTGCAGGCCACCATTCTCCAGTTTTCTTGGGTACCACAAACAGCCTAGAATAAAAACCTGGAGAAGGATGAGGTATAGGTATGATGGCTTTCTGGGAGAAATGATTCTGTACTGCCTTGGACGGGTGTTGACTGGTGTTAGAATCCCGAGGCAACGGAAAAAAATATAGGTACCTGAGATAACAAGAGGAGGGGGAAAGGAAGTGGATGACAAATACCTAGGATAATACTCAAATAACCCAAGAATATGTGGCAAAATTGTGCCATACGGGAACAAAACAGTCACGCGAGCCCCAATGGACTGAATCCCACAGTGTAGTCATTGGTACTGTTGGTGACAAGCCCATCTTCGTTGAATAATACGGTGAGTGGAGGAACCCCTAGAGGTAGAAACTGGTAAAAGCTGGAAGGGAGTGGGAAGAAAACAGTAATAGGGAGTTGTCTAGGCTTGGAATAAGAAAAACGATCAACCAAATTTGAAAGGGTTGATTGCTGTCTCACAGGTTCCACACGAGATTCTCAAGTCTCAGGAAACAGACTGTTGGAGAAGAAGGACCGTATGTAAGCCCCAAAAATAAGTAGGTGGTAAACAAAGTTGGGACAATATAGTGTCTCTTCCCAGAAGGCCCCAACAACAAAGGAACCACTTGTGTAAGGAAAGAGTCAAATAAGACAAACATGCCAATGCAGAGGTAAGCAAGGAACAGGTATCCCTCAGAAAACCCTCAGAATCTCAGTGGAGAGCCTCAGAAAGGAGGTGGATAATGGACAAGTACCATAGGAGAGTTGATAGGTTAACACAAAGGTGGGAAAACTGGGCATGGGATAAACAAACAGGGTGATCAGAGTCACCTCACACACAAGGGCAAAAGTGATTGCAACTGTTATGAATCAAGAAACAGAAATTCAATCTGATGGTGAGCTAAAGCAAACTGATCCAAAGCCTGTGGAGGGCAAGGCACACTAGCTCCTTCATGCATCTGAGATACAAAATGTACCCTAATATGTGGAGAAGGAGGAAACAAAATACTGAGAGTAGTGGGGGGATGTATCATGTAACAGGAAAGGAAGAGGATAATAAGAAATCTGGGAAATTGATAAAACAGAACACACATGAGAAATCATGTCCAAGAAAGCTGTATTAGGCATAGCTGATTCCACAGTAGGGGCAAAGGAAGATACAGCAAAATCAGGTGGAGGAAATTGGATGTCAAGTTCCTCTTTGTCCCAAACAAAATTTGAAAAATGAGAAATTTGAAATAAATTACAAAATAGTTCAATCAATGTTAAAAAAGATTTCAAAAAATTTTCTAGGTTTAAAAAGAAACACAACTAAAGAGCACAATGAAAAAAGTCTTGACAAGAGCACTGCCAAACAAGAAGTGATAAGTCGATAGAATTGAATAGAGGGAGTCACATGCATCAGGAGAGTGTGTCACACTCCTATTGGTGGGGGATTGTTGCATGATGGATCACGTGTGAGATACAGTTGAACCATGTTGATCGAATGAACAAAATACTGGCAGGATTTTAGGTGAGAACAATTCGACAGTCAGTATATACTATGACGGCTGTTGAACAGCCAACATCTGAGGTGTTCAAAGTTAAATTATCTTCCTTCTCCCATGTTGATCGTGGGGTATGTGGAAGCTCAAGGCTTTTGACATGTGAAAATTTTTTTTATATAGAGGGGAGCACCAAACAAGAATAGTAATATCTGTGAAAGGAGGTCAGGTACCATATCGAAAATCTGATACTTAACCAGTGATCAGACCTTTATCTTATGATCTCTTGCAATTTTTTCCACTGTTAAGCCTTTTTATATAGGTAAGGCCAGATGAACTGTTTACATTGGAATTAGAAAGCATTAATTAAAAGTTTTAATAGTAACAAAATAAATAGATAGTGATTCTCATGTTTCTCTGGCCTGACACAATCATGAACCACTAAGTTGGTTCCATACTTAAATGACACACCAACTATGTGTATTATTACACAATGCTTTCTCTGTTTTTTATAGAAAAACTGGCATACCTATACTACATATTACATAAATAGACCAAAAGAACTCTACGAATTGAAGAATACTAAGAAGCATTTTGAATGCTAATGTGTTATTTCCTTATGAGAGAACATGGATCAAGACTGATAAATCACAGATCTTTGAAAAACCATGCAATATGTTTTTCATAAACTTGAAAGTAAGACAAAGAGCCCTAACCCACCAACTGTTACAAGCTATCATATATAAAAGTGATGATAAACAATAAAGTAAAGAAACTAAAAGCTTAGTTTTGTTTTAAAACACCTTTTTTTTTGTTATTAAGCTAAAAGTAACTATTTTCTGAATAAAACTGTTAAATAAGTTTAAATAGTTCTTATGTATTTTTTTTAAAACTAAGTGTGCATTTTAAGTTATTTCTATCACATACACAACATATTGTATTTTTTGGTTATTAAATTAATAAATTCAATTCATATGTTGTAAGAAAAGATCTATTAAATACTGGAAAGATGAACAAAAACTCTTGGACAAAAAACAAAGTTTGCTTTAAGTTATCAATCTGTACACAGCTAGAAAAATAGTTTAACATCATCTGATATTTTTTATACAATTAAGAGGTTATGTCATAAAATCTAATTTATAAGTTTACAACTTGAATGCTCAGAACTAAAATCTAGTTATAAAAAATTTAGGTACAAATCCATTAAAAAGAAAAATCATAGAAATGCATGACTAGGAAAACTGATCACTTATTAAAACAAAGGGCTCCATATAACAGAACCTGAAATAAAGCAACAAAAATACAACCGAGAAGCATACTCTAAATAAAATAAAAATTTCTACCATCCCATTAACAAACCTACTTAAAACAAAGATAACAAAATATACAAACAGAAATCAAATTATATAAAAAACCTTCATCTTACCAACACGGTGAACAAAAAGTTTAGGTTTTCCAGGAAAATTATAATTGATGACATTGTCTAACATAGGGATGTCAATTCCACGAGCTGCTACATCTGTTACAATCAGTACACTGGTTTTGCGGGCTTTAAACTTTGCCACATTTATCTTTCGAGCAACAAGATCCAGACTACTATACACATATGTGCAGCTGATGCCTGTTTGAGTTAGAACCTGAACATGAAATATAAAAGCTTCAGATTTATATAAAATACAAACTTATCACTTAGATAAAGTTCTCTACTACTACTCATATAAGATTTGAATGTGCTAAAAATAATTTTAGGAAAAATTCAAACTGTACACATACTGTAGCTGAACTTTCATTAATGCTTGAGTTAGAATTTGAAAATCAAACATAAGAACTTTACTTTTACACTAATCAGGCACCGTTCACAAAACCATTTAGAAATAAAAACAAACCAGTGTCTAGAGTTTAAGCTTTACTCTCTATATTCCTAAAATGTAAATGAAATAAAACATTGGCTCACAAAAAACAGAAGAAATGCACAAATTTTCTTTAGTAAAACACATTATGTTGTATTTAAATTTAATTAGAAAGTTAGCTTTTAAGAGGTTAGGATAAAAAGCTAATAAGATTTTTTCATAATAATCTCAAAAAATGTGGTTTAGTTTTGCTAACTTCATTTCCACAAGAATATGAAACAGTGGCTTTCCTGGAGCAATGCTTAAAAAAAATTTTTGGTAATGAAATTGGCAATGGAAAAATACATTACTCAAACTCACTGGCAGTATGTGCAAAGGTACACACAAATGTATCATTACTTAATGCATGTGCCTTCTAGTTTTAATCATTAAGCTACACAAGGGACAAAGCCTCTGATGTTGTATTATTATGAAATCAAGGAGAAAGGTCAAGTTCACAATTATTAAAAAGTGAATCATACACATGCTAGTCTGTGAATAAAATATTTATATTATTTGATTCTTGCTTCTGTGATTATTAATTGACTATTTAAGATGTGATAACTGCATATATAAGAAGAAAAAGTTAACTATCCATCTCCCTTTTAGGTGTGGCACGTATATAAACAAGAAAAGCCTCACACGAACAGAAAATAACAATAAAATAAAAATGTGCAAAAATTTCAATTATGAATTTTGTTTAGCTTCATCAAAGGTAACAAAAATTAATGTGGCCAAATAAAGAATGAAAGTCTGATACTATGATTCTCATTCTTAGGTACTTAACATGATGTAAATACGAAGGAAGTAAGCTTACTAATAATTGTGTGGTATAATAGAAAGAAATAATTAAATGAAAAATTGTTGCTTAGTATGTTTAGGTGTTATAACTTGTGTAAAACATACTAGCTCCTATGGTTTAGGTATATTTGATGATGTAGTACTGCAGAACTAAGTAAAACAAAGCATAATACTTATGTTTAAATAAAATGCATAATACAGAAAACAAACAAAAGCACATAACCTTCCATGATTTAGTACTGTAGCAATGATATAAAAAAAAAAGATTATAAATGAAAGAAAGCATTTTCCCATGTTTGGTACTGAATTAGATGTAATACAGAAGAACTAATGAAAAAACTTGATATTTACCATATTTAGGTACTTTTCATGATGTAGCACAGAAAAACTGAGTAACAGAAATTTTGCTATTTACCATATTTAAGTACTCAACATGGTGTCTTGTAGCAGCAAACACCACTGTCAGCTCTTCTGGTTTAACAACATACTTTAATAGGTATAGAAGCACAGCCAGTTTATCATCTGAACGACATGAAAGAAATTGCGTCTGCAAGAGATTACAAAACACACTTTCAGCTGAGAAACACAAGGGGAATACTGTCTACAAGAAATTATAAAGCACATGTTTTGTTGAGAAACACAAGAAAAATAATAAGAGAGATAGTAAAATATAATTATAGCTGAGAAACACAAGAGAAATATTGTCTAATCTAGCCTATTTTTTAATAATATACTTATCTGGTGTAGATATAAAGTTGTAATTACTGATCATATATATATAAATAATGGCAAACAAAAAAAAAGATTTATTTTTATTAAAACTAAAAAAATATCAGTGGTTAATTCCACTAATTTATACACAGCTATGTTTAAAAAAATAACACTAGTTTTTATGTGGCTATTATCAGATTTTATAGAGCCTTTTATGTGGTTTATGTTAACTAGCTTACTATCTTAATTTGGTTGTTAACCACAATTATCATAGTAACTTTTTGCCTTATTTCCTATACTTTATCATCTTGTAGGAATAACTATTTTTTGTAATGTACCATGAAAATGTTGTATTATACAACATTTAGTGTTTTTAAATAACATGACCTCAAAAATTGATATTAAATTGACAAAAATCTTAAATCATGATTAATCACTCTCACCTTCAAATTTTCACTTAGTTTGGAATCAACATCCAAACGAATCAAAATAGGTTCATTTAGTCCTGCTTTGGCAAAGTCCACCAGAAGCCGTGGTAAAGTGGCAGAAAACAGGAGTGTCTGACGATGGTCTGGAAGGCGATAAAGAACTTCTTGAAGTTGCTCTTGAAATCCCATCTCAAACAAGCTACAATATTCAAATAAGAATCAATCAGAATTATGTTTTAAATCTTCTCTTAAACAAACTACAATACATAAAGAAGAACCAATTAGCCAGAATTATGTTTAAAATCTTATCTCAAGTAAGCTAAAATATTTAAATAAGATTCAATTAATCAGAGTTATGTTATAAAACTTATCTTAAGAAAGCTAAAATATTTAAATAAAAATCAATCAGAGTTATGTTTTAAATATTTTCTCAAGCAAGCAGTAGAGAACAATACTCATGGCACATTTAGAAACATGAGCTAGCACAAAATACACAACTTGTAGAACACTATCAGAAAATAATTTTAAAATTGTTAAACTGCAAGAGAGGAGCTACTGTCAGAATATAAGCAAATTAACATGTATTCCTCTTCTAATTTTTAATGGTATAAAGAATATTTTTGATGAACTGCCTTTTTTTTTCTCTTTACAGTTATTTAACTATTCTATATTTTTTAGAACTGTTAGCTTTTAAAAATGAACTCCTAAAAACAATGTTTGAGATAATTATAATTATGTAGTACTTCAGATGATTTTAAAACAATGAATCATTTAAAATTAAACATCTGGTTCAAAACAATGTTGATAAATATATTAATTTGAATTAAAAGCTATAAATGTTAGTGTTTACCTGTCTGCTTCATCAAACACAACATATTCTACTGAAGAAAGCTTCAAGTCCATCTCCATCACCACATGAAGAAAACGCCCAGGTGTTGCTATGATAATATCAGGATTCTCATGAACTGCTGCAAATTGATCTTCTATACTGTCACCTCCCAGAATTATGGCTGTTTTAAGTCCAGTGAACCTCCCTAACTGAGACAATTGTACCCATTTTAAGAGACACCTTAAAAATGTTACTCAAAAAAAAATACATCTGTTTTCATTCCAGTAAACCATCTGAATTAGTGTTATTACAAAGTATGGAATTTTTATCGATTTTCTAAACTAAAGCTAAAATTTTCTGAAAGGAAATGAAGATGTTCAAACAGATACTTTCTTCATTATGTTGAAATAGCTTTCTCCAACATTTTCAGCAAAATGTCAAACAATGTCAAAATGTAATTCTGATAAATTTCATTCCATCACAACTTTATATTGTAGTTTTCACATGGCTTCCTGATTTAAATATTAGAATTGTTTTAATATAATGTACTCAACCTCCTGTATAAATCCAAGTAGCACAATTCCTAAAACTTTGTAAAAGATATAAAGGACTGTTCTCGTGCTAAACAGAAGTACACATAGAGATGAACTGAATAATGAAGATAAACAACTGGGTTGTCCATCAGCATTATCCACACCAACTTTAAAGAAACAAATCTTTCAACTTTAAACAAAGAATGAGTTTTGAAAGTTGAAAAAACTGATAGTATGATATTAGACTTTGTTGACTGTGGAATTACAACAAAAGAATAAAAAAAGTAGCATCTTATCACTATTTTCACAGCTCTCTTCTTCATGATGCTAATAGCTTCACAGTCCAGGAGAGAGAACAGAATTTGAGAGAGGAGAGAAATGAACTGGAACTAAAAGACAGACTGGATGAAAACACCTACAGTACTCTAGTTTTGTCAAAACAGAGGAGATCACAAATGCACAAAACAAAGAATCTGCTCCAAAACATGTTGGGAAGGGGAACTGGTCCTCCAAGGAAATCAGCAGAAGTCCAAGGGGTTACAACAAGCTGCAAGAGCACCCTGAGGAGCTGCTGATCTGTAGTTTCTATGCTGTACCATATTCTTAATATATCTTATTATTCTAAAATAATACAGTGATCATGTAAAAGAATAAACTAAAAACTGAATGACAATTCAGAAAGTTGAATGTCAATAAGCCTCATTCTAAGCTTGTGCAAACAAATAGCAGAGAAGTTCTGAGTAGAAGCACTGTCACTTTGAGGATGAGATTCTTAGAGTGAGAACATTGACTTGACATCAGAGATATAAGTAGAAGTGACAAGAGTTAGGCTTAATATTACAGCTAAAATGTTGGACACAGCTATTTCTAAACTTAGGGCTCCAACTAGGTCCTCATCTCCAAAATTTATAGTAGTTTTCAATCTATTTAACCTCCAAGCTGAAAATGTTAGAATCAGCAATATATTGTAACAAGCACATTTTTTTTTAATTGTAATTGTTTTAATATTTTTCTTAAATACTCACAAGTCAAAGCCAAATGTAGAATTTAAACTTCCAGCTACTGTGTTTTTGTGAGAATATCTAAAATTCAGATTTTTTTGTTTAATTTACCTCTCTAGTGAAGTTCATTGTTTGAAGAGCCAGTTCACGAGTAGGAGAAAATAACAAAGCTCGTGCCCCAGTCTGAGCATTGTGAGTTTTCAGTCTTTCAAACAATGGCAATAAGAAAGCTGCAGTTTTACCACTCCCAGTACGAGCCATAGCAACCACATCCTTCCCTTCCATAATCAGGGGTATAGTCTGCAATATTCCAGAAAAGACTATAGTTAACAAAATAATGGAAACAAAAAATGTTTTATTTAAACCAACATACATCTCTTTATTTGTCTGTTTATCTATCTGCCTAAAATTAGTCAATTTGAACTTTAATTCTAATAAAAAAAAATCATTATTAATGATAGTTTTGAAATTTTATTATGTATTACATTTTTAAAAGAACTGAGTACGTATTTTTTTATATTATGAGATACGTACATAAAAATTAAGGATTATTTCATTCTCTACTAACCTTTCTTTGGATAGGTGTAGGAATGTTGTAACCTTTTTTCAATATTCCTTTGTATATGGGGAAGCTAAAACCTAGACATTAAAAAAACGAAACAATAATATTATATTCTATATATATATATATATAAAACTAAAACACAAGAATCTGTGTATCTGTTTGTTTATTCATTATCTAACTACTCCTAGGTTGCTGGGCCAATCTTAACCAAACTTTGTGGGATGATAGTTTGGAACAAGGAGTGTGTTAATGAGGATTCACAACCCCTCTACATCCCCATTATTCCTATTATTGAGTATTTACTATCTTTGATGAAAAAGTTAACATTAACTATATTCACAGATGGTGCCACTTCTTCTTTACACTAAAAACAAAAACGCTTTACATACGAAATCTTCCACAAAACAACATACACACACAAACATCTTATATATCTCAGAGTTCACTAGCACTCTCTATGAAGCAATACAATGAATAAAAAGGTGCCACCACTGTTGCAATAATACATAAACGCAAATGAAGTTTCTTCTCCAACTGCCATCATAAGGCTGTTATGAAAAGCTGTTTCTTGAGTTATACCTACTTCCTACTTTGTCCCATGACCTTTCAACTTCAGCCCATAACACACTTCTGCAGCCAAAGACCCTCAATTAATTAATAACACGAAACATTATGAAAGGATATTAAGAGGTAGGTGTTAAAAACGGGTAACAGAAAGCACCCCTACCACTTCTTCTTTGGCCACTACCTCTTTCTACAAAGTCACCCTGATCATTGCACAGCATATAACATGTTTTAAGTATATACATATTGAGCTCTTAAAGCTTAGACAAAACTTTTGGTGAGGTAATAATGAATGCTGTAATAATATGTTATGTTATAAATAAATTGTGTGAAAGTTAGGATTTTTGTGTTATTTATCATAGCATCCACCCCCATATTTGTTTAAGTTCATAACCCGGAAAAAGGATGGGTACCTCAGCTTGTATCAAATAATACAAATATAAAAAGAAATCATAATTAAGTTTTTTAGCAAGTGTACCTGTATGAAAGTTATTTGAAGTCTCTTTTATTTAACTGTAGGAACAGCTTTAGCATCATTATACAGATGTATCAAAAATCAAATTACACTTACTTCCAAATACAATTAAAAAACAACTAAAAAGCTTGTGCCAATTACAAAGGTAAAAATTAGAAAGTTACTTATACCATTAATAACTACAAGGTACAAGTCTGAAAGTTACTTATAATATCATTAATAACTACCAGGTATAAGTCTGAAAGTTACTTATAATACCATTAATAACCACAAGGTACAAGTCTGAAAGCTACTTATAATAATATTAATAACCACAATGTACAAGTCAGGAATGGACACAGACAACAAAGATTTGAATACATGTGAAAGTGGGTGTCAGTCTGATTTTAAATTAAAGTAATATTTATCTTTAACACCATGTGCACAAATGGAGGTCAAAGTGCACAAGCCACAACCTTTTACAAAGTGTCATTCTTCCTTTGCTGATTTGGTGACAGTTCATGGTAGGAGTAAACACAAGATATAATACACTTAGATATTTAAAAAACTTTGGATATGCATTTCAGAGGTTCTATAGGTTATGCATGTTATATGATGAACATAAGTATTTTTATTCTTCACATGAACTTCACCTTGCACTGTGACTTGTCAGAATCTTAGTCAAACTGACATCAATGCAGAGACATATCTTGTGTACAAATAACTTCGTAACTAATCTGATTTTCTGTGTACAACAGACTTGTACATTTTAATATTAAATTATATAAAATTAATATTATTTTCTAGATCTGTGTAGCTGAATTATGGGAAATCCATTATTAAAACTAATATAACTTTTATGAAGTTATGTGTAATTAGGCTGTAAAATTCATAGTTGCCTTATAATCGCAGGTGACCACAGGCCCCTTCCCCCTACTCTAGCCTGTCACATTCCTGAATGTCCTGAAGCTCTCATGTCATTTCCAACAAATCAATGTTCTTCCTATAACAAAGGGTTCAAAACAGTTTACAATAAGGAGTCTTAACATAAGTTTATAGAAGGATACTACATGCTTCTTACTCCATTAGTGTTTTTCACAACATCAAACACACTAATGGAGATTCCATACCTTAGTAAACACATGTAATCCTCTTATCCACAACACATATTCCTCTCCAAAATACTACACCACAAGGACATCACTTAACACACCTCTGTACTGCAACACATTTTCCAAAGTTTATTCCATTTGGTAAGTCCTTTTGGAATACACTAATACTCTCAAAATAGAGTATAAAAACCATATGTGGACTTATTGCTCAATGAAAAACAAAGGTCACAAAATAGACCCCTGAAGGACCTCACTATTGACACCAGCAGAAAAATTATACTTTCTTACAAACCCTCCTGCCACTACAGAATTTTTCTTACCATTTTTTAATTTGTTTTCATACTTTCTGCATCACAATACACAATACTGACAAGCACACTATCATCAAATACAGTACAAAAACTTAAAAGAAAATCATTCAACAAGATAAAAAGGCATGAAAACCCACTTGTTTGACAGTGCTGAAGAGGAATTATTAAATGCCACCTTTTAAGTTTGACCATTCAGTTGATGTTTTATTAATTGTGATGATGTTACTATTTCTATTGCAATATCATTTTATCCAATTCACTTTTAAAAAAAATCATAAGAACTTATGAGGGAAAGAAAAGAAAAATATGTTATAATGTGTCAGCCACACTACATCTGCAATTCCCAGTTTCAACAAGGCCTTCTGCCCATTACTAGGGCTCATCAGACTGGCTGAAATATGACAGATATAGCAGTAGTCTAGGTGACATTTATATCAACTTTCATTAAAATTAGGTCAGGGTCAATCAAACACTACTGTGTGGTAGAGCAAGAGATGTACAGGTAACATCACAATGAATAAATTCTACTAATACCTGATACTGATGACAAGTTTTATACTCATAGTGGAAACTATGGGAGATAAAAATTGGAACCTACAAAAAACAAAACTCACCTTAGCAGTTACAAAGACACAAGTCATAACCTCTTTTCATTTTCATGTCTGACACCTGTTATGCTCAGAAGAATTTATAACTATACAAGTTTTTATAGTATTTCATACTATCATGGGAACTCCCAGTGGAGTCAACAAGATACACATATATATATCACAATATCTGGGACATATTTTGATTTTGCATCATGATCAGACACGTCACAGACAAGAACAATTATCCAGGCCACCTACAGAATAACACCTGGAAATAATAAGGCAATAAAGAAGACCTCCAAATGCTTTGACTACTGGACGGAAAAAAAATATAGAGCCAAAGTCAAGCTGAATGGAAGCATTGAAATAAACCACCCACTGATGGCAAGAAAGGAAGAAAATGATGTGATGATGGACAAATAGGATTTTGAAAATAAGCATCTTGTATATCCACCTTCATCATCCAATGGCCATGATAAAGAAATTTCTATAACAACCACATATTTCAGACTTGAAATGAGGTTCTTCCAGGTCTATAATATCCTGTATTGTTTGTTTTTGAGATAGAAAAAGTTTGGAATAAAAACTGACAGAACTGTAATAAACAATTTAAATTGCCCCTTTATGAAACAGACCTTAGACTTTCTACTCACGAAATTGCAAGTAAACAGGAATGAATGGAAAAGACAGAAAAGGAGGAGAATGATAAAAATGCAAGTAAAGACCAGACTGAAGGATCTGTCAAACCCAGAGGATTCCACAGATGAACTAATGATAAAAGATGACCACACAACAGTCCAGATATAGGAATCATTCAGAACCAAAGAGTGCATCTGTGTATGGCCACCTGAAAAAGTTTAAAGGAATGAGTAGAAGTAATGTGCATTGATTGAGAAGTAGACCAGGAAGGCAAGGTAGGAGGACAAAAAGTACTTGATGGTCGTCTCCAAGAGATGACAACTACAATTGAAACCAGATGCTGAATCCATAATCAGTTCCTGTTAGTATGTTTCTAAGACTTGCAGTTAATGAAGACTAAAATAGCTTATAGCAAATGATTAAACAGAAGATAAACCATAGTACACAGGGCAGAAGACTGCTAATAAGTTGAAGTAACAGATCAAAAAGAATACCCCCTCCCCCAAAATAACCAATCTGAGAGTCAAGAACTTGAGAAGTAAAAATAAGTAATAGAAGAAGACTCAGTGAAAAACCACATTCATTAAGAACACAAAGAATGTGAAGTTTATTAAGATTTTGATGGTTTATAAAAACATCAGAAGCAACCCAAATATCAAGAGAAAGTGGAGTAAATAAAGATTCAAGAACCAAATTTTCTAACATAATATTATCACCCTCAGGTTTAATAGAAATTGGTTCAATATTGAACAGGCCCCTCACGAGCCAATGGGGGACATTTTTGTTGAAGAAAAAGACAAACTACCTAATCCCACACACCTTTATCATTGGGGCTACGAAATGTGATTTGAAGTAGTGAGGTGACTAAAATCCATCAGTGCATCACAAGCTTAAAAGCCAAGCACAAGAAGCATGGAAGTTTCCAAATAACATGGAGAGATATTCAGGAACCGTTTAGAACCACCTTTGTAGATATTGTTCAGCAAGCCAAGTACAATATTATGCCTGTAGCTACTTTCAAAGTGTTCCTGTCTGTTCATCCTACTGTTGACTATCGTGATGCTTCGACCTTCCCTATCGATTCGCAGGTGAAATCGTTCGTATCCCAATTGAAAGCTAAACATCAAAAGATGATAGCAAAAGCATAGAAGATTGGCAATTGCTTAATTAATGATGCTGAGAATGTGGCTTTATTGATATATATTGAATTTACTCTCATCGTGTAGACCTTAGTACTAGCTAATATGGAGACTTGAGGATGCTGTATTTCACTTAAAATTTTATAAATTAACAAACAGAAACTTGTTCTGAAATTGTCTCAAAAAGATATGTCCAAAACCACCCTCTTAGGAAGTTTCCAGGTTGAATTTACTTTTACTATTCAACAAGCTGTAGTGTAAAGACACGCCTTAACTTCTGAGGGACATGTTAAAATAGAATATACTTAAGAGAAATGAGAAATAAAACCAGCAGAAGCTTCTTCAGAAATAGGGCTGGCAGCCAAATCCTGCATTTCAAACATTGAAGGCAAATAGGTCTTAGCAAAAGATCAATCTTGTTTAAAACCATGAGTAAATGGCAAGTGTTCTGCAACTTCAGCACCAACCTGATTGTGAAACCTGCCCAAGATACTGACAGCCTACATCTATTGTATAATGAGTGTAGACAATCTCCCTGCCCACTAGAAGTAGAAGAATTTCTGATGTATGTAGAAGTATTAGGATCGGAAATGACATTAACTTAAAGCAATCAGCATGTCTGTCAACAAGAAAAATCTACATTATAGGGGGAGAGCAAAGAAAAATGTCACATGGAAAGTGGGAGAATGGAGAATTATGGGGAAGGAACACATGCTCTGCATTGTGCAAAGACATTCAGAACTTTTGGTCACATGACTGTGGTCAGCATAACAGCTATTCAGCAAGGAAAGATTTTCAGTATTTCAGAGGTAAGTGTACTATATTTGAAACATCAAAATAAAATATTTCTTTTCAATTTGAAATATGAAGTATTTTCACAGCAAGTAAAGAAATCATGATGGCTACCTGTTCTGACAGAAATGGCCCCCACTCAGTAAACAATATGGAGTGATAAATCAGCAATGCAGATCATATTAAAACATTCCTCCTTCAAATAGTTTTGTATTACATTATATTTTGTATAGAATTCCTGAACATTAAGCAAAAATAATGTTTAAAAATATTGTGGAAATTAAATGTTGGTCAATCTTTACCTTCTTTTATTGATATATTTTGTTTTATAGTTTCAGCAATTGCAGCCTGTTTTATGAAACTGATGATTTGCATGAGATAACTCAGGTACCCTCCACGTTTCAAAAAATATTTGCCTGAGTTAATTTGGGTGAAATTTGCAATGTTTTTAATCATTTACCTGAATTCATTCACATGTTATCATGTATTACAATCAGTACTCACTAGATGGCATTGAAAATGTTGTTTGTGCTTACCACTATCAGATTTATTCTGAATTAGGATTATAAACACTGGAGAAAAGCATTCCTATTCTTTACTGTAATTTCATTAAAATAATATATACCATACATAAACCCAGATATGTAGCATTCATTTATTGAGTATATTTTTGTGCAGAAATATGATAACAGATCATAAAAACATATGTTTCATTAATAGTTAAGTATAGGCTATCGAAACATGAAATAAAAAACAGACTTTTACTGAACTGACTTTTAAAAAAAGCTGAGATGTAAGGGGTTAATTTGGCTGAGGGCATAGATTTTTAAAGTCAATAGTCAATCACTATATATACATCTGCCCATAACTGTGTGACTACTTCTGTACAATACCACTTGAAATGTGAATAATTTACTCCATGCATAGCATTCTTTGTACGTTTGTTTTATATTTTCTAAAGTACAACATATATGTACTCACCCATGGACTGAAAACCTCCCGATTTTTTCTTTTTCTTTTTTTGTTCTGTTACCATTTTCCTAATGTCAGCTTCTTCAGCAGAATCATCATTATTATTGAAATCACAAAGTAAGACCTATAAAAAGAAATAATCTGAAAGTACTACTGCATCACAACTTGTCTTAACAAACATTCACAATAGTTTATACTAAAACCACTTCAAAAATATGCCACAGCAGTGACTTTTAAAAATCATTAACAGTTCATTATTTACACATATTATTAAATATAAAATAAAATTATATTACAAATTCTTTTAGTAAAGTGGCTAATTCATAAACTACTCTTTAAATATTACACAAAGAAGATCCAAACTAAGAAAATATTTCAATGTGTAAATTGTAGTATCAGAATCCTGTGCCATAATCTAGCCAAAAAATGTTTCATATAAAAAATCAAAAGAAGCCAGAGCATCAAAGAAAAATATGATAAATTAGAGATTTTTAAGAAGCTACTGACTGAACTTAATTCATTTATATTAATAGGCAGAAGTTCTCTTTTTTCTTTGAGTGCATAACACATGTAGCAAAGCAAAGTCTATTTTTAAAGTTACTGTTTAAATGCCAAAAGCTGGCAAAGTATTAGAAACTAGTATTCTTAAGATTTGGATAAAAATCCCATTAACTGCAGATGTTTTATTCCCCACATTGCTCTTAATTTCTCCACAGCAGATTCAAAATTAGAAGCATGTACAAATAGCATTTTATATCTTCTTTCTCCCACAAATCACTTTCTAAAATTTCAAATCAGCAATGTACAAATTAAGAAGAATGTGAAGAGAGAAATAAAACACCTGCAGTTAACAAGATTTTTAACATAAATCTTAGGCTATTAAGTATCTAATTTGTAAATTTTTTTCTCAGCTTATGATATAAATATTTTCTTAAAACTCATTCTTACATTCTACATAAAGGTCCTTTTATATGATTTTTATATGAATATATATATATTTCATCTCAAAAAATTTCTAAAGACTTCCTTGCCTTTCTTAGTTCCAATTTTTGGCATTCTGAACTGTTCAATAAACCTGTAGTATCTGGTATGAGTAAAATGTTTTCTTTGTACATTTTTTGTTATTTTTTTAGTTTTATGGGACAACAAAATCCAATTCACATTGTTACACATGATTTTGACTCTAACAAACAAGCACTCCACCATAAAACAATAAACATATTTGCTGTTCTTTCTTTTCCTGCCAAAAATGTACAAGAAATCTTGTAAAACTTCATCCAGTCCATTCGATCCTGCTCAAGTGATTCAGCACAATTTTAAAAGTATCTTTCTTTTAAGGAAAGTTCTGTCCAAATTTAAACTTTTTTCCACAAGATACGTAGACCAATGAAGTTACATTTGTCACCTGTCACCTTTACTCAACTTTAACCTTCAAATTACTGATGGTGTCCATACTATTGGTTTTTTTAAACATATTTTTATAAATTATTTATGCACCAAATTGCCTGATTTTGTAACCATGACTTTGTTGGTTACAAGATCCCTAATAATTAGGGCTTTTCAGTGCTTATCTTTAGCTGTTTTATTTAGATATCTTAAAATTTCTGTTTTTTGGGGTTTTCATTTTTAGTTTTATGCAGCTTAAAATCAATTTTTTGGAGTTTTTACTTTTAATACTGTAATAAGTATACTAATATACCTTATATTCTCTGCACACTAATTTCTCTTATGGGAGTAATAACAGGTACAAAACATAGTATATTTTCTATTTATAGTTATAAAAGTAATTAATACGTAAAAATTAGACATGTGTTAGGTTATCTAAGATAATGAAAAACATTCATAATTATACACAGGCCCATATGGAAATGGTTAATTCTTGCAAGCATAATGACTTGAGAAAGTGGGAACATCAATGTAAAGTAAGCTGAACAGCCATTTCATTTTTTTTTGTATTGAGGGTATTTTATAGGCATTTATCAGTTAAAACCCAAAACCAGAAGCTCTACTAATAACATATGAGCCAAATAAAGTTTAAACAAGAATACATTACTGCAATCAAGCCCAGTAACTCCTGCTATGTATTTTACACAGAAAATGAATAAATGTTGTAATATTCAAAAAAATGAAAGCGTTCAATATGATGTAATATCTGGACTCCAGTGGCAGTGAATGGTATAAACTCAATTCAAATCACAATGTTAATGCAATCCACAAGTTAATATTTCTGGGGCAGTAAGAAATTCTCCCAGCTTAACTGAAGTTCATAATAAAATCCTAAATGATAAACATATTATTATCAAAAACCCAAACATATGGTTTTTTCCTGGTTTTTTTTAGTCATTGATTAGTATGCAAATGAGTTCAAGATAACTTCAAGGTGACATATTTATTAGGACATTTACTCTGCCCCTATAGATATACTTTATGAATCAGAGCTGGATTCAGGGAGCATAGGATCAATTATCAGCAAACATGACAACAGAATGGTTTCCTTATCCAAACTTTTTATTGATAAAAGTGAGTATGCCATTTGAATACTCACTAATATTACTGTAGTTGCAAAGATAAGAAATGTTGAGGTAACAATCTCCCCTCATTTCTAGAAAAAAAAAAAAATAGTGGTAGAAAGAGTGGTGTATAAAAGGGACAGTGTCAATGAGGATGGTTCAATCAGTTCACAGTTATCAATATATTTAAAGAATCTGTTGCTTCCCGTGCATCTCTTTCCTGTCAAAACCAAAAAATTACAAAAAAAAACAGTTATTGCTCACTAGAGTTGAGTAATTAATGAAATTTTATATTCAATAAGTCATCAGGCTCACTGATCAATTACACTCAATCAATTATTCTCACAAGACTTGAATAGTTGGAATAAGAATAATCAAAAACAATAATTTTGAGTAGTTGATTATTTTTTGTGAATTATGGCACTAACTGATTAAGCTGAATAACCTTGAATTACCTAAAAATAATAACAAGAAATCATAATGGCAATATTTTGATTACTTGGAATAATAAAAAACAGAAATAATCAGAAACACTAACTTCAATCAGTTGATTATTTTTGTTACATTAATCAATTATTAATCAATGTAATCAAATCTCATAGGCAATCAAATAAACTGATTAATCTCCAAGTTCTATTGCTTTCGACACCTTATAGGAGCATGATGGATAGTATGATCACATTTTCAAAGTGCTTCATATGACACAGAACCAGAATACAGTTAATAAAGATTTCATAGGTCAAATTCATTCTTTACTTGAAAACATTTCTGTATACATTCTTTTCACAGTATTGGTTTATTAGGCCCTTAATAGGTAAAAAGTATATAATGTACTATGACACTTTGAATATGTCACAGTTTATAAGTATGAATTGGTTTATCTCAAGAAGCTCGTGCTAAATAATTAATAACATTGGTTTTGATGGATTCAGTCTTGCAGTTCCACTAATCAAATAATTAATGACACTAAACTTAGATGACACAATAAAGCTTGAACAGAGTAGAATATTACATGATTTCCACGACAAAATACCACACACTATATAATCCACTATTTACATATGGCCCAAAATATTGTTAACAGCACATGTACCCAGTGATGAAACAATGCATTTTAACAATTGTAAGTAATATAGTTTGAACTTAATTAACTACACTAATTACTAGATATTTATTTTAAACTCTGATCTATGTAAGTAACTTGCTTTGATTGGAAGTTAATATTGATTACAAAAAGCATAATTACAGAACAAGAGGAGTAACAGCATTATCTACCACAGGTAACAACTGATAAAGAAATACATTATCAGGTTTGAAGGTATAAAACTGTGAAATAAGCTAGACCAATCAACTCTAAAGGAAACTTTGTAAAAATTCTAAACACAGGTTACACTGATACTTTTTTATATAAGAAATAATTCAACAAAGTTTGAACCAGTATACTGATTAATGTATTTAAATATTAACAAAAAAATATTTTCTTAGCCTAACCATCTCATTTGAATAAGGCAATTGTTCATTCTAGATAAATTCAACCATCTCTGATATTCTATTTACTACCTGTTAGATTATGTTATATATTGTATACGTAACCTGATGATTGTGACAATATTTTTTTTTGTTCTACTATAAAGACTTAAAGAATGAAAGTAAAGAAGAATGTATAACAATATGTCAAGAACACCATATCTACTATATCTAATGATGATGATGTGTTGTACCTAATACAAGAGCTTATCAGGTCAGCTGGAATACGGCTAACACAGTAATGGTTGAGATGCTATTTATATTACTAAACTGCATGAACAACAACTGTTATGGTATGAATTAGATTAAATTGGAGAAGTGTAGTTATTATATATATATACACACACTATACCCCTCCCCCTTCAGAAATACCTTGGATCTGCCACTGTGAATCTTTGAGGTTCTGCAAATATAAAATTGAGCTTCATTTTGACATATCATTTCCACCAGATGAATTATGTATACTTACCATTTTGTTCCACTGCAAGGTAAATAAAAATGATCACAATGGTCACACAATATTGACCCTTAGGTAGTTTTTGTTTCACATAAAGAATATGCACATTTGTTGATTTTTATTTTTTAACTTCTTCAGCCAATTCTTTATAAAAAAGATTTTAAACACTATGATGTTTCATAAAGTTTACACCATGCACTACTATAAGGTGGTTTATATATATTATGTACACATGCTATACCCTTACCTCGTATTCACTCACAAGAACAGGGCTCATTAGGCTGGATGGGATACAATAGACACAGTAGTGGCTGAGATGCTATTTATATTATCAAACTGCACGAGCAACAACTGCTATGGTCATGCATACGATTCATTTATTAATTATTGGCAAATAATACTTTATCATCAACTTAAGCAAACTGCAATGGCTATCCAATGGCTCCTTTGTAAATTTAATAGAGTAAGAAATGAGGGAGATAACCATAGAGTCCAAACAGAGTTTAGAACTTTAGTGGCCCAGGTTTGAACACATGGACTTCAGGCATTCAAATATTTGTACAATAACAAGAAATTTTTTCTCTCCTTTGTTTATTTCATATTATAATAAAACATCAATGAATAAGATGAATAATAAGAATGATTAAACAAGTGCCTACTTTCATTATTGTTTTATAAGAAAAAAAGATTAGTGATTATTTGGTTTCTTCAAAGAAAATGTTTGAATCACATTCACCCATTGTGATACAGGTTTATATGTCTGTATCATTTATGAATATGTTATCAGGGTAATTTACATTAATGTATCTACTTCAAAATTCAAGTTTTCAACATGTATAAAACTTCTTAGAAAGTTGAAATACACATTAAAGAACATTTAGGATATATCCAGAAATAATATCATAACATTTTCTGAAAAAAACTATAAATTTCAGATGGCAATTCTCTACATCCCAAAATATTTAAGTTAAAGAAGGTTTTTAAAAAAAACAGTGCTTATCCAAATAGTATAGAAAGTTTTCCTTTACTCTTTTCAAGATGCATGTAATAATGCATCTGGTTAAGTGCTCAAAACATTTTCATTTTTGCTTTACTCAACATTATAAGACCAAAATTAAATAGAGCAGCTTAAACTGGCACATTATTACTTACAATTTTATATATTTATTTTGTATTTGGCCATTGCAGCACTACAACCTTTATAATTCTGGATGAAATTTGAATTGCTTCATCATATGAATACATTATAGTTCAAATTTCAATGATGTATCAAACATTGACCACTGTAAGTTGTAACTCGTGCAACTATTACTGATTTCTTGTAGTTCTAGAAGTGGTAGTAGAGCTAGGTTTCTTTAAAGTTTAAATTTTTGTTGCTTTCTTTCAAACAAAGGGTATAGGTCTAGGAAAAAACTAGATTAATTATTAGTAATATTATGATGTAGCAAGGAATATAGATTATGAAAATCAAAGTTAAGTTTTTAAGTTTAACTTTTTATTTATTTTTCACCTTACCTCAGCTGGACTTTCTAATAATTGTGATCTCTCTCCTGTGACTGTACTGATTATATTTTCATCCATAGTTGGTGATTCACACTTTTGTTTCTTTTTCTTTAAAGACATTTCTAGAAGAAGAACTCTTCCAATGGGAACGTTTCGTTAAATTACCATTTAAACTTTTAATTGTATGATTTACAGAAATATCAAACAACTTAAGTCCTATAAAAAGTATAAGTTATACTCCTAATCCTATCTACCTTAATACTGAAACACACGTGCAATACAGTAAAACATACTTCCGCTAGACGGCGCCTACTATTTTCGTATAAAATTTATAATTTTATAAGGGAAACTTATAGTATACATCATTCAAAGCATTATTACCAGGAAGAACTCATTTGTTAGTCTTTGTTTTGTTTTAAGCACTTCCCAGTGGCTCAGCAGTAAGTCTGACGCTAATAATCGGTTTCGATACCGGCGGTAGGCAAAGCACATTGTATAGCTTTATGTTTAACAACAAACAAACAAAGCTTTGGCTAAAAAAATTTAAGAATGAAATTGACTTTAATGTTAGGGTAAAAAAAGTTTCTGTAGTTACTGTAGTTTCATGACTAATATTAAAGCTTATTCAAATTTATCTGTGTGCAAAACCTCAAACGTTACCTGTGTGTGGGTATGAAGGAGGGGGGATAGAGAGCATGTGATACCTGATCATCGTAATTCTGTGAATATATGGGTGATGGCCCTGTGTGAAGATCAGGAGTATAACTCTTACCTCCATGTAGAGAAATGTCAAGTATATTGCAGGAATTACGCTTCAGATAGAACAGTTCCTAAAGTGTACATGATTAAACGCGGATATGTACATTATTAACATGTATTAATCTGCCCCACCAGACGTAGAAATATATCTTGCTATTATATACTTTTTCAAAATCTCACGACAGAAGTGTAATGAACTTTATTATCGCTCAGTTTAAATCAGTTTAAAGTTGTTGTTGTTGTTTTTTTTCAACAAAATAGGATATAATACATCAAAAAAAATTGTAGTAAATATCTGAATAGTATACCAAATAATTACTGGAAAGTTACTAGTCACTTCGAGTTATTGTATATAGTCCACATTATTTCCTATTTTAATTCAAAATCAGTTCGAGACTAGAAATATTTTTATCGAGCTTTTTAGTTGGCTTTGGTATGTTTTCTTTCTCTTTTTTGTGTTTTTACAATGATGACAATAGATTGAACTTGGAAAAACCGCTGTAGCGATCAATACGATTCAAAAATATGTGCTGTATTTTGAGCAGATTGAAGATGGAAAGAAAAAGTTAGCCAAAACATTGTTTGAAAGTAATTGTAAAGGTAATGCGAAACAATAAAAGAAATAGGTGGGTATGGAAGAGGAAGAACATGTTTGAAGACAGTAGAAATCCTGAAATATGTGAGATGATAGCTGAAGAAGAACTAGGAAAATGTTCAGCAAACTTTGCAACAGAAATGTGTAGGATCTAAAAGTATATGTATTTCTACTATTATAAACACGTAAAATAGGGCAGTGGTTCTCAAAGTGTGGTCTGGACCCACTTGTGGTTTATGGGCTGGTCCAAAATGCAAGTCACTGATGCTCATACGAAAGATCATAAGACAGAAGAGAACTGCTAGGTGGGGTAGGACCGGTATATAGTCCGCGGGTCATTCGTCCCACCAAAGTGGTCCGCAGTCGAAAAAGTTTGGGAACCACTGAGTTAGGGGATAGGATTGTAAAGATGTGATATATAAAATCAAAATGAGAATAAGATTGGAGATTTGTTTCAGATATAGCAAGAGCAATGAACCAAATAGAACAAAAATTGACAAGGGGGGGAAAAGATCAGGCAAGTTCATAAACACATTTCTAGAATACCTAGAGTGTTTGTGAATATTGAATGAGCGAGAGGTTTTATGAACTATCTAGAAACAAGGCTAAATTATAAATACGAGAATCAATGAAGCATTTTAGTTAGTAGTGGCAATCTTTCAGTGAAGTATTTAATTTCATTTTTAGCACATTCAGTCATTAAGATGTTAGTGATGTATTCAGTTTTTGTTTGTTTGTTTTTCAATTTCGCGCAAAGCTACACGAGGGCTATTTGCGCTAGCCGTCCCTAATTTAGCAGTGTAAGACTAAAGGGAAGGCAGCTAGTCATCACCACCCACCGCCTACTCTTGGGCTACTCTTTTATCAACGAATAGTGGGATTGACTGTCACATTATAACGCCCCCACGGCTGAAAGGGCGAGTATGTTTGGTGGGACAGGAATTCGAACCCGCGACCCTCAGATTGCGAGTCGAGCGCCCTAACCACCTGGCCATGCCGGGCCGAAGTATTCAGATCAGTGTTACTTATTGCGAAAAATTAGATACTCGATCGATTAGCCATGAAAATGTACAAGTAAGTATATTTATACATTAGTCGTAGTATCAGTAGCGAGTAAATTCCTATTGAAAGGGAACACTTTATTTGTGGACTTAACCCTACAACTGCGTACAAGTGAAAATAGCCAGTAGCAAACATTAAGGAAGAAATTAACCATTTTTTAGCTGTGGCATAGCAGCTCATAGAAATGACTATGAGTTTTTTGGTTTTTTTCAAGTACAAACTTTTAGCCCATAGCTGCCCCCCAGTGCCACAGCGGTATGTCTGCAGACTTACAACACTAAAAACCGAGTTTCGATACTCGTGGTGGGCAGAGCACGGATAGCCCATTGTGTAGCTTTGTGCTTAATTCCATACAAAGAAACAAGCTCATAGCTCCGTCATCTCTTGACCGATTTAAGATCTAATTACAGTTTTTGGACTCAGGAGGTCAAACTCTTTCGATTGATGCATTTGACCATGCCCAAGGTCTCATATATTAATTTACTCTATTCCTGCCTAAAATAATTTCAATTTGAGAGTATGCTGGTAAAAATCCTAATGAGTAATATGATCGAATGGGTATACGCGTGTCCCACGCTTGGTATTGCTGGCGCAAAAAAATATAAAAAAGAAAAAAAAAGGTATCATAGATTAATTTACTCTAACCTTGCCGAAAAGAATTTCAAGTGCTGTGGCTACTGAGGATTCTCTCTTGTTTTATCATTACGTGACTAGACTTTGCATTATTTTCACAGAATATTTAGAAAGTATCCACCTACAGAAAGAACACGCTACAACACTACCAATAATATCAAGGCTCATCAGTTTGTTTGTTTGTGATTAAGCACAAAGCTACACAATGGGCTATCTGTGCTCTGCCCACCACGTGT